AGACATCAGACTTCGGTTTTATTTTAGAAGTTGATTTGGAATATCCAGATGAACTTCATGATTTACATTCGGACTTTCCTTTATGTCCAGAAAACATTTGTGTAGGCAATATTAATGAGAATAAACTAGTCCCAAATTTAAATAATAAAGATAAATATGTAATTCATTACAGAAATTTAAAGCAGTGCTTAGAAATGGGGGTTAAATTAACTAAAATTCATAGAGTTTTAAAATTTAAACAGTCTCCCTGGTTGAAGATGTACATAGATCTAAACACAAAATTAAGAACTTTAGCAAAATCAGATTTCGAAAAAGATTTTTATAAATTAATGAATAATTCAGTCTTCGGTAAGACTAGGAGAATATTGAAAAAAGGGTTAACATAAAATTAGTTACGCACTGGGAGAACCAGGGTAAAGCTTTAGGTGCTCAAGATCTAATCGCTAAACCACAATTTCATAGCCTTTCAATATTTTCGGAAAACCTAGTTGCGATTCAGTTGCGAAAAACGAAGTTAATATATAACAAACCAATTTATTTAGGGTTTTGCATTTTAGATATTTCAAAAACATTAATGTATGATTTTCATTATAACTATATGATTAAAAAGTTTAGTAAAATCAAATTATTGTATACAGATACGGATAGTTTAATATATCATATATTTACAAATGATTTTTACACTGATATAAAACCTGACCTTTCATCATACTTTGATACCTCAGATTATGATACAAATAATATTTTTGAATATCCAAAATTAAATAAAAAGAAATTAGGTTTTTTTTAAAGATGAAAATAATGGTAAAATCATGAAAGAATTTGTGGGTTTACGATCCAAAATGTACGCTTTTAACTTAGAGAATAAGACTATAGCCAAGGCAAAAGGGGTAAATAAATGTATCACTAAAAAGATGACAATGAATAGTTATAAGTCTTCTCTATTTAATAAAAAAGTGCAATATTATAGTATGCTTAGATTTAAATCAATTAAACACACAATTTTCACACAAAAATTAAATAAGATAGGTTTATCATATAATGACACAAAGAGACATATTTTAGATAATAATATTGAAACATTAGCTTGGGGTCATTATAAACTGCGTTAAGTGTTGATAGTTTTTACTTTTATGTCTGCGTTTAAGAAAAATTTATATTGATTGTAAAATTATGATAATACTATAATATGACGTAGTTTATTACATATTTAAACATTGTTTTATTGTAAATAATTTAAGTTAATTGTTGTTTCTATTTATTTGAGGTTGTGTTAATTGTAAAATTATGATGTACTAATTGTTGTTTCTATTTATTTGAGGTTGAGTTAATTGCAAAATTATGATGTACTAATTGTTGTTTCTATTTATTTGAGGTTGAGTTAATTGTAAAATTATGATGTACTAATTGTGTTAGAAATAGTATACAGATAATTCTGTTTTATATAATTTTTGGAATATATATTAATTGTTTACACCAACACTTTCATTTTTTATTTCACCCCTTTGAACTTTAGACGTGTGTTATGTTTCACTTTATCCATCCGTTCACTGCTATTGTGGCAGGACCAAGTGGGTGTGGGAAGTCAAATTTTGTAACAAATTTCATAAAATCAGTTACAGAAATATGTAATTGTGATTTTAATCAGATCACATGGTGCTTTGATGAAATGCAACCATTATATAATTTACCAAATGTTAACTATCATCAAGGAATTCCAAATCTTAATATGTTTGATGGTGAAAACCCACATCTTGTTATTATTGATGATCTAATGAGAGAGTCCGATGGAAGAATTGTGGATATATTTACAAAAGGTAGTCATCACAGGAATCTTAGTGTATTTTATCTAACACAAAATTTATTTCATCAGGGTAAAGGACAAAGAGACATATCTTTAAACTCAAGTTATATAATATATTTTAAAAACCCTCGAGATAAAACTCAAATAAGATATTTAGCAAGACAAGTATCACCAGATAACCCAAAATTCATTGAAAATGCCTACAGGGATGCAACTCTAGAGGCGCATGGATATTTAATGGTAGATTTAAAACAGAATACCAATGATTTTTGTCGTATCAAGACAAATGTCTTTCCATTTAATGGTTTCTGTACAGTCTACGTCCCCACAAAAGAGTTTAAATACACCAAGAATCAAACAATTGAAATCATTGCTAAATGATGCATCGTCGACTCACAACGTATAAACATTTGCTAACCGCTTTGCATACGCTTAAACCAAAATATCAAAGAGCATTACTTAAAACGTGTGATGAAGAAGAAATTAACTGTATTTGTGAGTGTATTCATAACGTTTTACAAGGAAAAGTACCTCTTAAAGATCAGGATAAACAAACATTGAATAAACATAAAAACATACTCCGTAAACTAGTACGTAAGTGTAAACATAAACTAAGAAAAAATATAATTATACAAAAAGGAGGGGCTTTCTTACCAACAATATTAGGTGCAATATTGAGTGGATTAGTGAGTGGACTAGCCAGTTAACATGGAAAATGCAAAGAAAATGACACTTATCGAACCTGGATTGATTGAAAAATTAAAACAAGAAAATAAGGTTAATAGTAATTTATCTCGATTAGATATTGAAATGCAAAATATTATGAATAGTAAGACGGAAGACCGAAAGAAATGGATATTATATTTACAAACACTGCAAAGATACCTTCATTTTACCGAAGAGGATCGTCAACCACTCAAATTACCAATTTATTCTGATACATCTAATGAAGATTCAAATGAGTCAAAAATTGGTTTTAAAAATAAAGATAGAGATCTAAAAACTTCAGTTGATATTGAATCTTTGCTGGAGGAGAATCGATCCATTAAAAGTAAAGAAAATGATGAAAATCCACTTTACACACCAGCTCAAATACTCAGTTTAATACCAAAAACTTATCATAAAAAAGGGCAGTTATTATAAAACTTAGTTGAAACAAGTAAAAGTAAAATACATTGGGATAACGAAGGTACAGTCATAATTGATAGTGAAAAAATTCCTGGAAGTAATATTGTTGATTTAATAAATGATTCACTAAGACCCCTAAAAAGAAGTGATCCGGTAGGGTGGGTTAGATTTGCTGAAGCATTAAAAGATATTAAAGTACCACTTACTTATATTGGAAATCCAAGGAGATGTGAGTTTATTAACCAACTTCAAGCAAAAGATCTGAACAAACCCTCTGAGATTGAAGTTCAAGAGTTTTCTACACCGTGCAGTAGAGATAAAAAGTCTACAACTAAAATACGTAAAGGACTTGAGTGGGAAAAATGGACTCCGTACTAGAAGAAATTAACAGGATTTATTATGATCCATCTAATCCCGCTGGTTTTGGTAGTATTGATAAATTATCAAAAGCCATGAAGGGTAAAATGAATAAAAAGCAAGTAAAGGAATGGTTAAAATCACAAGAAACATACACATTACATAAACCCATTCGAAAAAAATTCCCGCGTAATAGGTACATTCTATCAAATATTAATGAACTGTGGCAAGCTGATTTAAGTGATATGCGAACTTATTCTCAATATAATGATGGTTTCAAGTATATACTTTGTATTATTGATGTATTTAGTAAATATGCTTTTGCAAGACCAATGAAAAAGAAAAACTCAGAAACAACTAAAGAATGTTTTGAAAGTATATTTACTGAAAGTAATTTAACACCTACTCACATACAATCCGATAAAGGTACAGAATTTGTTTCAAAAGATGTACAAAAATACTTTAAATCCAAAAAGATTAATTACTATACCACTAACAATCCTGACATTAAGGCCAGTATTGTTGAACGATTTCAAAGAACACTAAAAATGAAAATGTGGCGTTATTTCACTCATAATAATACTTATAGATATATAGATGTTTTACAAGATTTAATATACTCTTATAATCACAGCTTTCACTCTAGTATTAAGATGTGCCCATGTGATGTAAATTCCAACAATATTATGACAGTTTGGACTAATCTTTATGATAGACGGTCAAAAAAACTTTCTTTAGAAAATCCTAAACCAAATTTCAATGTGGGTGATTATGTTCGAATAACTAAATATAAACATGTATTCCAAAAAGGATATGAATCAAATTGGAGTGATGAAATATTTATTATATCTTCAATAATTGATAGATCTCCATGGGTTGTTTATACAATAACAGATTTACAAAATGAACCAATAATTGGTACTTTTTATGAAAGAGAATTACAGAAAATCACTTACAACCCCACCTCACAACATAAAATAGATAAAATAATTGACACTCGTTATTCAGGTAACAGAAAATAAGTATTAGTGAAGTGGAAAGGTTATCCAGATAAATTTAACAGTTGGATTTTAGCTTCTAGTTTAAAAGAAATATGAATAAAGAAAGTTTCTATTTAACTTTGCTCAGCAATAGTTCAATGGAATACTTTCCTGATAACAAGACCACAAATTTTTCAACGAAATTACCAAAAGCTATAAAATTAGAAGGTGAATGGTCGGTTGGAGTTGTCGAGTTTCAATATCCATGTACCATGTTTACTGTTCAAGACCATGAAAATGGTATATACATTACAAAATCTATGTTAATGCCTAATGAAGATAAACCATCCACAGTGTACTACAAAAAACATATTCCAGCTACCAACTATGATAACGTTGAGCATATTTTAAGAGTGTTAAATGGTATCGGAGAGAACTTGAAATTTCGCTATGATGAAATAACAAAATTTGTGTCTATTTCGGTATTGGATAAAAATATAACATCCGTAACATTATCACCCAAATTAAGTTTACAGCTAGGTTATGAACCAAATAAAAATCTCCTAGAGAGAAATTTTGGAAAGTGTCCTGCTAATTTACACTTAGGGTTACCATCTCAACTATTTCTATATTGCGACATTATCGATCCTCAGATTGTGGGTGATGTTATGACTCCTTTATTAAGAGTCATTTCATTAGATCCTACAAAATACATTTATGGTGCAAATAAAATGCACGTTTTCTCTCAACCTCACTACTTACCTGTTATGCGAAGAGAGTTCGATACGTTGGAAATAGTTATAAGATCGAGTACAGGACAAAAAATACCATTCCAGTTTGGAACCGTGTGTATTAAACTACATTTCCGAAAATTATAATAATGAATTCTCTTCGTGATCATCATAAATGTCCATATGAAAATTATTATACACATCAAGCTGGATCAGGAGTTGGAGTAATTTATAAGGGTTCACCATATCAACGCGGTCATGGTATTGGGAGCTTCTTAGGGGGGTTATTCAGATCAGTTTTACCTTTACTTTCAAGTGGTGCTCGAGTGATTGGTAAGGAGGCATTAAGCGCTGGAGTAGGACTTTTATCAGATATGGTTCAAGCCCGTCCTATGGAAGCCTCAATAAAAGATCGTCTAAAGCAAGTTAGTACGAATTTAAAACGAAAGGCTGATGAGAAAATTGATCAATTTAACATGACTGGATCTGGGTATAAAACTAAAAGAAAACGATTGACATCGTTCATTCCACCATTAACTGCTAAAGTGAAAGCTGCGAAAAAACTTAGTCTAAAACCAAAAAATATCAAAGATATATTTTCAAACTAAATATGTCTTTCCTTCATAATCATTCTTGCGAGTGCGTTAAGTCAGAATTGGATTTGTTTGCACTACCGTCTACACAAACTAGCATTGAAAATGGATTGTGGATTCATTATAAACCAATTTCATCTCTTGGTGATGATGGACCTATCGAGTTTCAAGTTCCTGGGACCGGCGATGACTACATAGATTTGTCTCATACATTACTCCACATAAAGGCAAAAGTATTAAATCAAGATTCAACTAACTTGGTATCTACTACAATAGTAGCACCTGTAAATAATTGGCTGCATTCACTTTTTAGTCAACTTGATGTTTATTTAAACCAAAAACTTGTATCACCACCTAATAATACCTATGCATATCGAGCATACATGGAAACCCTTTTAAACTATGCCCCTGCTGCTAAACAATCTCATCTTACTTGTAGTCTTTGGTATGAGGATACAGCAGGAAAAATGGATTCTACAGATGGTAAAAACATAGGATTTGTTAAAAGACAGGAATTGATTAGTGAAAGTAAGGAAATAGAAATGATTGGTCATCTTCACGGTGACATTTTTAACCAAGATAAATTTTTAATTAATGGTGTTGAAATGAGTGTTAAATTGGTTCGATCAAGAGAGAGTTTTAATTTAATTGTTGGATCAAACGATGTAAAGTTTAAAGTTTGTATTACGGACGCAACTCTTATTGTTCGACGACCACGAATTAATCCAAGTGTATTACTCGCACATCAAAAAGTTTTAGCTTCTACCACTGCTAAATATCCTATTACTCGAGCTGAAGTAAAAGTTTTAACAATTCCTTCGGGTGTTCAAGGAAAAACTCTTGATAATATATTTTTAGGACAGGTACCGAAAAGATGTATAATTGGATTTGTGAACAATTCTGCATTTAATGGTTCCCTTACTAAAAATCCATTTAACTTTGAAAACTATGGTATTAATTCTTTCAGCTTATATATTGATGGTCAACAAATACCTTCAAAAGCTTTGCAACCATCTTTTAATAATAGCATATTTACATCAGCATATCATACTCTATTCTCGGGAACTGGTATTCACTTTCGTAATGAAGGAAATGGAATCTCTTGTGAACAGTATGGCAAAGGTTACTGTCTATTAGCATTTGACTTAACTCCTGATTTATCAGCTAACTCATCAACTCATTGGAATCTCATAAAGCATGGTAGTGTAAGAATAGAAGTACGATTTGAATCCTCATTAATACAAACAATTAACTGTATAGTTTATGCTGAGTTTGATAATATTATTGAGATAGATAAAAACAGAAATGTTACTGTAGACTATAGTAGTTAAGGTTATAATATGTGTTGTGTGTTAGATTTTATGTGTTATGTGTAATGCATTTTGTGTGTATGTAACTATGTGAAACGTTATAAAATTAAATAAAACAAATTGTATGCAATATATTTTTTTTATTTCTTTATAAATCTTCTATTTAATCTAATACAAAACACTGTTCGAGTTGAAATTTTACATAAGCACACTGACTAAACCACTGAACATGCTGCTGCCAAGGATCATCATCATCTTCCCAATCTTTTAAACCACCACCACAATGGAAACACTTGGTCCCGTCTGCATGGCCAGTATAAAAGAAACCAGCTTCTGCAAGATCTTCAGGTTTCTGTCGCATAACTAGAGGCCAGTTTTCGAAACTAAGCAAACGGCTAGATTTTGAACTGAAGAATGGATATTCAGCTCTTGAGTACTGCATACTCTTCTCGTTTTCTTCTCCACTCAGTGTTGTAGTTTTGTTATTCAATGATGTGTTTTGTACACGTATGCCACACTCATCTCTTCCTTCCGCTCTTGTCTTCCTGTAATTGAAGTAAACAGAATCACATTCACTAATGATCAGCTAATGACTGTCATTGTTAAAAAAGTATTTTTTAACTTTTTCACTTTCTGCTATTGTCTTTGTTATATTGTATACAAGGGCGTTTGTGTTGTCGTAGATGCTATCCTTATTAGTCTTTACGTAATATTTAATTCTAGTGGAAGCATGTTTCCAATGATCAGTAGTTGGAATCTTGGATAGCTTCTTCATATCGTACATTTCAATTTTGATGAGATGCGTCGCTTGGTCTCCGTCGTCAGAATTAGTAGAAATGTATGATACACCATCTCTAGCGGCTCGTGCTACGGTTGATGATAACAGCTTCCTCTTTTTTATTTTTGATTCAGCTTCAAAAAAATGATCAATCGATTGCGATTTTCTTTTTCCACCATCGCATGTGTAATTATTAATGACGAGGTTATCACTCTCTTCTTGAGGGGAGAGTGGCGAGTAGTAATACTGTTTATAGGTATCTTCATCGAAGCTCAATGATTTCTGCAACAACACAGTTATCATGTTAATATCAATTTGTTAACACTTAATCATAAAAGTTAAAAAAGTTAAAGTTACAGCCTATTAAAGTCCACTGCTGAACATAGGCCTCCTCTCATTTCTGAGAGGGTTTTAGAGCAAGGAAATGTCCGCCGCGCTCCCTCAATGTGTGTTGGCGAACTTCACATGCCTTCGAAATTTTCTCAGACATGCAGGTTTCCTCACGATGTTTTCCTTCACCACCAAGCACGTGGTAATAAGCACTTAAAATTGCTATTAACAATTTAATTGGTGCTGGCGGGGATCGAACCCGGGTCGCGTACTGTGAAATTTACAGCTAGCGCTAACCATCTGAGTTACCACGGCTTAATCATATACATACACAATATTTAAATAAAATAATACACACACATGAAAATAACAGAAAAAAAGTAATTTAGTCAATAGAATAAACACTTACATCCATAGCCTTTGGTGTATTGAAGTAACACAAATGTACTATTGATAGATCCACTGTAGCCAAACGACCGTACACTAACTCGATGACTGCGTTTGTTGGTCTTATATACCACCAGTACGTAAAAATTCTAATCTAAAGTATTTCCGTAATGAGTTGATAATTACTTTATGCGTCAACCAGTTTATCTCACATTTCCGTTGCCTATCTCAACATTTCTTCGTATTGTGTTTTGTTTGGTGATCAATGACTCAAGTACGATTTGTATAACACAAAAATGCAATTTAATATTTAGAAACATATCAGTTTATCTCACATTTCCGTTGCCTATCTCAACATTTCTTCGTATTGTGTTTTGTTTGGTGATCAATGACTCAAGTACGATTTGTATATCACAAAAATGCAATTTAATATGTAGAAATCACTATAATTGACCATTCCTATGTTATTCATTGAGTAGCTAGGTACTGTAATAATCTACTAATAGCAGTAATATCATGGATACACTAGATGTACAACAACATCTGAAAAAGATTCACCCCAGTCTAGAAAATAATGTTTATGCAGCTAATAGACTGCCTATGTATACCCACGTACCAACGTATATAATATGTAATTTGGATACAGATGATAAACCAGGGTCACATTGGGTAGCTTTATATATCGATACGAATGACGTCGGTCAATATTTTGATTCATATGGGCGATCACCTGTACGATATCATCTAGAGTTTTTAAAAAGGAATTGTAAAAGATGGAACTGGAATGTTGATAGGATTCAGAATGAGTGGACTTCAGTTTGTGGCGAATATTGCTTAATGTATTTACTATATAAGTTTCAAGGATGTTCAATACATAGTTTTACGAGTATATTTACAAGGAACACATTGTACAACGATATTTTAGTGGATGAGATGTTTCGCTCCTATTTTATAGATAATAATTAATAAGATTTTATATTTTATAAATAAAAATTGTAACAAAATTATGTAATGTGTTTTATTGATGATTCAGATTAGCGTTGTATAAACAAAGAATTATAATACAATAGCACTGATATAGTCGACGCACACGCTGCAATGAAGGTGATTAAGGAACAATAGAACAATAGAAATAGGAACAATGGGACGCTAATGACGGTGGAGACCCTTACCGGATATCAATTAGATATTAGCTAATTGATCTACACATCTCCGGAACCGTGCATTCTACACAAAAATGGACCGCGGATTCGTGATCAGAGCATGCCAAAACCTTTTTTTTTTTTTTTTTTTTTTTTAGGATCGGGCGTCGACGAACGTCGTTGAACCACGTCTGACTCAGGTGGTCTAGAAGTGGTACAAGTACACTACTGCTGTAGCGTGGCTTTACCACGTATAGACGACCCACTCATAGTACAACCATAATATAGCTGCAGCGTGACTTTACCACGTATAGATGACCCACTCATAGCACAACCATAATATAACTGCAGCGTGGCTTTACCACGTAAAGACGACCTACTCATAGTACAACCATAATATAGCTGCAGCGTGGCTTTACCACGTATAGACGACCCACTCATAGTACAACCATAACCAAGTGATAGTTTTTATATTTTAATATTATCTTGAATTACACTGATTTACTTTTTTTATATATCATCGACAGCAGCATCTTCCTGATAACAACTAAAAATTAAAAAACACAGCTGCGGTTGCTATGCCGACTGCCAATCTTGGCAACTATGCCAAAATACATGGGCCAATCTATGGGTTAGGCCTAAGTTTAAGACATTTATAAGCTGTAATGGATACGGAAGTTTCTCCTCTTCTTTTATATTAAATACAAAACTGATACTTCAATTTTAGATGTTCATGTATTAATATAATGATACTCAATCTAATGTACATTGTTACATATAAACTTTAATAGCTTCATAAAGCGTGAAAGCCATTTCAACATGGCTACAAAGCTTGATATCAGAATTTCTAACTAAAAGAGTTAATTAAACTTAAGTGTACCGTTGGCAGTGACGTTAAGATGAGACGTGCAATACACTCGGATTACAATGCAATGCACGAACGTAACTGTGTAGGAAACATATTTGTGTTTATTTATTTAAGAAAGTAAGAAGTGATTTAAAATTACTTATATATGAAAGGTTACGACATTTTTTTGTAAATTTGACGTAACAGATCTCTTTTTGTAACAAAAAACTGAACAAATCGGCATTATGTAATGGATGACATACACGATCAAGTTTACCGTCAAGTTTGCAGCGCGCTTGAAGCGCCGTCCAGTTTGCAGTGCAATCCATATAGACCACTCACGTTCAAGTTCGCCGTTAAGTTTGCAGGTTGCTGCATCAGTTGAAACCATGGCGTCACTAATGACGGACGACGATGCGTTACCCATCCTAGGCTTATTGCTCGCAATTAAGAATACAAAAAGGAAAGATCGTTCGGTGTGGTGAAACAACTGGTTAATGAAACGAAAAAAAAATATCTCAATAGTAAATAGCAAAAAATTTGAAACAGACAAGTTCCTTGGCGCTAATGAGTTGCAGCGCTAAGGGTCGCGGGTTCGAAACCCGGACGGAACAAGTATTTGTAATGTCTACAAATAATTGTTCTGGGTCGTTCTATGTATGTAAACTGTCCCTGGGATATAGAAGAAAATCCTAATGTGGAGGTAACGTTTTTTAAAAAGAGAGGAAGAGAGACAACTAATGAAATTAAAAATCTTGTACAACCGACTTCAACACGAATACGCATTATTAAGGGTAATTCCAAAACTACTAGTCAGATCTTGATCAAATTTATATGGGATGTTTTAATTATAAGCACCAGCTTTCAAATAAAATAGAATCATCAAAATCGATTCACCTAGAAAAAAGTTCAGAGGTAACACATATAAAAAAAACATGTTTGTTAACTGCCTCCAGTTAACAAACATAAATAGCTGTTAAAAAGTTGTTAAGTGCTTGTACAGTAGGGCTACGATGGCTATCCGAGTACAGAACCAGAGTACGAAACCTATCCAATTGCAGAGAGGTGTAAGACAGGGTGACGTCATATCCCCGAAACTCTTCACCGCTGCATTGGAAGACGTTTTCAAGCTTCTGGACTGGAAAAGATACGGTATCAACATCAATGGCGAGTACATTACTCACCTTCGATTTGCCAACGATATAGTCCTTATGGCAGAATCGCTGGAGGACCTAAGCACTATGCTCAATGACCTCAATAGTGTTTCCCAACGGATAGGTCTTAAGATGAACATGGACAAAACAAAGATCATGTTTAATGTCCATGTCACACCTATGCCGGTAGTTGTTGGGAACACTAAGCTCGAAGTTGTTGACGAGTATGTTTACCTGGGACAAATAGTCCGACTAGGTAAGTCCAACTTCGACCGAGAGGTCAATCGACGGATTCAACTCGGCTGGGCAGCGTTCGGGAAGCTACGACACATCTTTTCGTCAGACATACCTCAAAACCTTAAAACAAAATTGTACAACCAGTG